GCAGCCCACAAAATATCCATAAACTAATTATTTGTTTGATCAGTGCACCACTAATTAACAGCTCTGGACAGTTTGTAAATATTTACTTACAGAAATTACCATACTAACATTTTGAAACAATGCTTACCTTCTACAGATTCTTTATTGTGTGGGAACAAAGTGGAAAAGTCAGTGTCTTCAGGCTTAAACAAGATTTACATGATGTTAATTCAAGTTTGTTTGAACAGTGTAACTTACATTACCAAACTTAAGAATTTTTTTTTACAAAATTTGTATTTCATGTGCACAAGTTTTGTCAGCCAATTTACAATGTTTAGCTTAACTTTTGAAGAAAAAAAGAAGAAAAGAAAAAAACAATTAGGATTTGAACCTGAATGTCTGATAACAGAAAAAATTGAGAAGCCATCACTGTATACACTAGGCTACAGATTCTACTGTTATTATTTGTCACTTTAAGCTTATATATACACTTCGCAACAATGTGTCACTTGACTGCTTGCTTTTCATAATCTGCTAGACCTTGATACAATGTTCTTATTCTAACAATATTAAATGTAGCCTGATATATCCTAGAAAACATCAAGGTACATAATTTTTGTTAAAATGTGTATGTTTATACACTGTTACATCCAGTGGAATGCCAGTGTTATTTGACATTCTACCATGACTTCAGTAAACACTGGATTGTGATTGGTTAATTAAAGTCATTCAGAGGTATATAATCACGTTATACAGGTCTCTGTTTTCCGTGCTCAATCATACATGGTTTACGGTAATGCACTATTTTTGTCTGCCCACTAACATGGCGGACACCAAACAACCTACCGATGCATCGATAAATTGCGGCGATTTTACTGTCGGAAATTACACATTTGTCTTTAAAGATGGATTTAGCGATGACGGGCTCGACTCACTACTTGCGTAAATCACAGCAATAGGTGTTTATACATACAAAAGTACTTGAAAGCATGGAAACAAATATTCAGTCGAACAAGATCAAAACATCGTCTGCTTTCGAATAAAAATTCAGCAAAACAAATACATGTATGTTTACGTTGATTCTATGTTATGTCAGAATAGATCCAGCAATAGACTGCTACATAATTTCCGTGTTAAATTTATTATCAGCTTTAAGTCAAGCGATATAAGCCACTGATCTTGATCCGGTAGCGGAGGATGCATTAACATCGAGCGGCGAAGAAATTTTAATGCCTTCCGTCCACATAAATAACAGTTGGGTTATCAATTCAAACAAAATGATATTTTGAAATTTGTACTGTTTCAAATTTAGAGGTAGTAAAACACAATAACAGAATCTGCAAACCGTTCTGTTTAGCCCAACATATTTTTTTTCTAAAAGTATATAATATCGTTGAAAAAGTTATTTAGCTTAGTCATGATCCCTCTTATCCATTACATTGCTTAATCTAAAGTAGTCTATTAAAGTATAATTAATTACCTTACCGTGTTTATGCCAGAGGTACACCCTCATGTCCTGATCCATCCTTTTGAAATCACCACAAATCTGGCTCTTTGTCAACAGACTTCGCTTGAACATGCCAGCGAATCCGATTCAATTTGAATTCACTACACTTTGAAGCCACTAGGTCACAAAACACTTTCCAAAATGTAGAAAATAATATCCGTGAGAATCGAATTTGAGCACAAAGTACACACATGAGTGTGTAAGAGTCACCACAGCTGTCGCCGCGAGCGTAGAGGTCGCGTGAAATCGTCAAGTTGACAGAGCAAAATTCAACAGTATCTAAATTCGATTTTAACCACGGACTTCGTTACAGCAAAAGCCCTACTCTTAAATTTTGTACCAGTACCAGTAATTAGATATCAAAGACTATCTCAGTCATACAATCAGGTTAACCTTAGCGCAAACTGTCAGTGGCTCTCCTGTCGCATCTTTCCAAATGTAAACAATGACTTGAGAAAAAGGTCAAGGCCATGAGGTTGCTGCCACTATTCTGGTGGGGAAAGGGTCTACGGTGGAATTTTCAAATGTGAACCAAGCTTTTAAACTTATTTGATATATGTTTTCCAACTTATCAGTTAATGATTGGTGATTGATGCACTGAAAAACAAAGCGTGATTTGTTATTACTGAATCTGGAGTTTGTTAGTCATTGACGGTTTGCCACCAAACACCCGTTTGAGGCTGATACCACTTGAGATTGGAATCTTGAGGCCGCTTCAACTGTATTGACTTCGTAACCAAAGAAAGAGCTCCACCTGAAATTGTTCATAAAATTGTCATGGTAGAATGGAGATAAACCTACTGTGTGGGAAAATCAGAGGTATATAGCGAAATTATAATAGCTCTAAATTGTTCATTTAAAACCTCACGCTGCTGGCGTTGGGTTTTAAATGAAATTTAGAGCTATTATAATTTCGTTATATACCTCTGATTTTCCCACACAGTAGGTTTATCTCCTAAGTGACAGGTGACACAGAGGGGTTTGCTAAACAGATGATAGAACAAATATGATAAAATTCTAGCATAATTACAAAGATTCTCACCTTTAGAATGCTGCCTGATCATATTTTGAAAAATCTTCTGATGTCTTCTTATTTTTCCAGCAGTGATCAACAGGGTCTCCAAAAAACTACCCTTGTTTACCTCAAAGTAATCAGCCTCGAGAGTCCCTTACGATATTGAAATTGTTTAATAAACATGTTTGATAAGTTCATTTTAGTGCTCTAAAACATTCAAAATAGTAATGAATCATGGTATAGTTGTGTAAATGTGACGGATAGTTTTCAGAGATATTACTTTACGCCAATGTTTATTTTTGAGATGTTGTATGGGGCAATTTCATACAACTGAAAAAATGTACTTTTTTAAACATTTTGATATGAGCAAAAGCGTGACCCACCACAATTTTTTAGGAGTGCATTCTAATTTACTCTCTTCATGTGTGGTGAAAAAATTGGGATGGGTCAAGCTTTTGCTCACACTTTTTTATCACTCTGAAAATATGAAAATGCAGGTTTTTCGAAGATATTGTAAAATAGGTTAACTTTGAGGTCTTCAAGGAGGGAAAAAACAGCACTAAAACATATAAAAAAAACATATGAAGGTAATTTCAACAATTCATTTAGCATTTTTTATGCTAAAATTATCATGTTGTAGAACTTTGAATATCATGAAATTTTGTGGGCCAATAAGGGCCTTTATCATACCTTGTCCTTTCCAAAATTCTGCACAAAAAGTGCCAGTATGGTAGATGATGTCTTGGTGATTCCAGAACACTAATTTTGACCATAGACCCAAGAACAACTGAGATACAGCCTTTTAAAGAGGGAACTATTTCTTCTCCGGAACTTCTATAAAGGTACATGACCCCCTCGACCCCGGCTGTATTTGGGAGATCCACTCGCCTGTCAAAACACGTGTTCTGGCTCCGTTTTGAACGATGATATCTAGTCCTCAGATACAATAGATAGAAAATACAGCCAAGAGACCTCATCGTTGCCTGCAACTATATTTGTCACATGCTTTGGTTAGACCCACAAGTATTCCTGCTTTGTGTTTTTGCTGCCTTGATGAAACTGCTCCCTACCATGTTGTGATGAAAAGTGTCAATGGGTTGTAAAGATCAAGCTGTTCCTGCGAAACATTCTCTTGGTTTCTGGGTCCTCAAATATGTCTTGACTGCTATCGCACACTAGACTTTGTGCAATGCTGCATATGCCATGACGATCCGGGTTAGAATTGGTCTTCAGCAACCCAAGCTTGTCGTAAGAGAGACCGGGTGGTCAGGCTCGCTGGCTTGGCTAGTCATGCTGCTGATCACTGGGATGCCCGGTCCCTACTATTATTTACAGACTGCCTCCATATAGCTGGAACATTGCTTAGTGCAGCTTTTAACAACAAACAAACAAAACAAACATGTCCAGGTGAGCTACAGTGGAACTATTTTTGAGTCATTGTTGGCCCTAGCCGTGAAGATCCGGGTTAGAATTGGTCTTCAGTAACCAATGCTTGTCGTAACAGGTATCAGAGGGTCTGATTCGCTGACTTAGTTGACATATGTCATCATGTCCAAATGGCGTAGATTGATACTTATGATGTTAATCACAGGATTGTCTGGTCCTGACTTGATTATTTAGGTACAGACTGCTGCCATATAGCTGGAATATTGTTGAGTGTGGCTTAAAACTAAACTCACATGTCATTCTCGTCGCTGTTATCTCAAATCTGAAGATTGGCTGCTTGTAGATCCCAAAGGCTAACACAATACAGTATTCTTCCTTATCCACACTCCGGCACAGCGATGACTAACATAACATCACTGCCACAGGCTAATTTGCATATCACGTGACCGGACTTTTCTCTTGTTTGTAATCAAACGCGCATATGCATAATAAGAAGAGGCTGGACTCACGAAAGTTATTCGGCGCTCTCTTCATAATGTTTTACATTGTTACATATATTTTCTTTCACAACTGCGACAGTAAGGTCTATGACAGTACATATTTAGATTTCGAAATCTGGGTAGGAGAGTGTTCCTTATCTTGACTAGTACTAATTGCTTGACTCTTCATCATCTCAAACTGCTGTGGGGTAGGTAGGATGATTTCAAGAACCAAAATTATCAACATTTAAAGCTAAAAGCAAAAAATAAGCATTGAATATGATGCTTAGACGTAAGCAACAGATAATCCAAACCAAAACAGTTGTTGAAATGGATAATTTTCATAGGATATATAGTTAGGATTGCAAAGCACATAAAACATTTCCCAACAAGCTGAGAATAAAATGAAAAAGTGACGAGTCAGCCAGATTGGTCATGTGTCTCATGTGCACCGTCCTAAGACAAGGGTGCATTTCGGTGAGATATTTTGGGTGTTCTAGGGCAATACAGCACAGGACATTTCCAGTACTGTTCATAAGAATGAAGAGACCCCCCAAAATCCTAGAAATTACATTTTTGTTATTATGATATTTACAATAAGCCAAAGTGCACATTCTCCATGTGTTGGTTTCAGGTATTGACATCCACATGGGCCTCCCGAAGCACTTGTTTTATCACGCTGCCCGGGGACAGTACATGTCAGATTTTGAGAACCTCTTGGCCTCCATGACTTCCTGGAATCAGTTGAGCCTCTTTTGTAAATTCATGTTCTACCCAGAATCCATCACTGCCAAAGCCTTGACTGTTCTGGATATGAAGGTACTGAGTCTCTTGGTTTTCGTCTCGTGGATTCTTAGAAATATTTTTGGGTTTGTGTATTGTTTCATGCCACACTCAGCAATATTATAGCTGTATGATAACCTTCCGTAAATAATCAAGTCTGGACCAGTCACACCAGTGATTGACATCATGAGCATCGATCCAACCAATCAGGATAAGATGTGTCAACCAAAGTCAGCAAGTCTGACCACCTGATCCCGTTAGTCATATCTCTATTACCGGTACCTAGGTCGATGCTCGTCTTGTTGATCAATGAATTGTCTATTGTAGCCTCTGACCCGTGAAGATCCAGGGTAGAATAGGTCTTTAGCAACCCATTCTTGTCATAAAAGGCGACTATGCTTGTCGTAAAAGGCGACTCAACGGGATCAGGTGGTCAGGCTCGCTGACTTGGTTGACCACATGTCATCGGTTCCCTATTGCGCAGATCGATGCTCATGCTGTTGATCACTGGATTGTCTGGTCCAGACTTGATTATTTACAGACTGCCGTCATATAGCTGGAATACTGCTGAGTGTGGCGTACAACTAAAGTCACTCACTCACTCACTATTGTAGCCTCTGGTTCAGATTATTTACAGACCGCCGCCAAGTAGCTGGAAATTGCTGAGTGCAGTGTTAAACAACAAACAAACACTCACAACTTTGAATGGTAAAATGCTTTGTTGTCATGTGGGAACAGAATGGTCCATGTATTTTTGAATTTCATAAATTCAGCACACCTCGCTGTAAAAATGTTTAGTGTTGCAGAATCCATGCAGCAGTTCATTCTCTTCCCACAGAGGTTACTCCTGTCATATCTTCCTACGTAACCTCTGTTCTAATACGGCCATATTTCCCGGTTCTCGTAAAATCCCCTAGCGGCAAAAGATCGCAACACGAATTATCTCCCTTCTTTCCATCCAATCAGAAAGCCTGTTACATCGACTTAGATTCAACTTAACTAACACAAGCAAATGTGGGGCCACAAATATCCCCCATCTGCCGGGGACTTGTGTTGATGTTACACACAAGACGTTTAATGGCTAGCTTGTCCGTTGTCAACGAGGGCGATGGAGACGCCACTGATCCGCCATAACATGACTGAGTTCTGTCTAGAAGAAACTTTTGCGCATCGCGCAGGGGAAGAAGTTTAGTTTTCTCGAAGCATACGGAAATTACCGAGGCCTTGCGAATGATCACTTTTGAAACAACGTCGCTGATTGCACAACTAAATCTGATTGTCTCCAATCACGAGTCTTGAACGCTCACACCATGAAAGGGCCGTATTAGAACAGAGGTTATGTAGGAAGATATGACAGGAGTAACCTCTGTGGGAAGAGAATGGCAGCAGTTTGGCACACTTAATAAATACCTGTTTGATCATGAATGAGTAGGCTTAGTTTTATGTCCCTTTAAACAATATCATGGCTAGGGACACTGTAAATGGGCTTCACACATTTTACCTATGTGGGTACTCGAACCCGGGCATTCCTTTAACGAGCAAACGCTTTAACCAGTAGACTAGCCCCAAATCCTGTTTATTCTTGGAGATATGTTTGCATGTAATATGTTACTGTCAATTTGATTACCAGAACAGTGGCCTGAATGACCCAGAAGTGATGAGCATCGGTCAGTCGGCATTCATTGGTGTTGCAACAGCCCGCGGCATTGCCAAGCTCTACAGCTATATGGCCATGAAAGGAATTGTCAAAGGGAGACAACTCCTGAAACCTGAAATCTGGAAACTGATGACAACCCCATTGCGCACTGAACCTGATCTGGTTATAACCTCAGCTAATTTGTCTTGGGGCAGGGGAATAGGATTTCGAGAACTCCCATACCCGAAGTACAAGGTAAGAGATACCATGTATCCTAACGCCATAATGGGACCCAAGACCCAAGTCACTTTCCTCCTATATAAAGGAAACATGTACCTACAGTATTCTTCATAATAAATACCCCAACACCATGTCGGAACCCAAGTCACTTTCTTCCCATATAACGGAAACATGTACCTACAGTATTCTTCAAAATAAATACCCCAACACCATGCCGGAACCCAAGTCACATTCCTCCTATATAAAGGAAACGTTCCTACCGTATTCTTCATAATAAATACCCCAACACCATGCTGGAACGCAAGTCACTTTCCTCCTATATAAAGGAAACGTACCTACAGTATTCTTCATAATAAATACCCCAACACCATGCCGGAACCCAAGTCACTTTCTTCCTATGTAAAGGAAACGTACCTACATTATTCTTCATAATAAATACCCCAACATCATCCCGGAACCCAAGTCACTTTCCTCCGATATAAAGGAAACATGTACCTACAGTATTCTTCATAATAAATACCCCAACACCATGCCGGAACCCAAGTCACTTTCCTCCTATGTAAAGGAAACGTACCTACAGTATTCTTCATAATAAATACCCCAACACCATGCCGGAACCCAAGTCACTTTCCTCCTATATAAAGGAAACGTACCTACAGTATTCTTCATAATAAATACCCCAACACCATGCCGGAACCCAAGTCACTTTCCTCCTATATAAAGGAAACGTACCTACAGTATTCTTCATAATAAATACCCCAACACCATGCCGGAACCCAAGTCATTTTCCTCCTATATAAAGGAATCGTACCTACAGTATTCTTCATAATAAATACCCCAACACCATGCCGGAACCCAAGTCACTTTCCTCCTATATAAAGGAAACGTACCTACAGTATTCTTCATAATAAATACCCCAACACCATGCCGAATGCAAGTCACTTTCCTCCTATATAACGAAAACGTACCTACAGTATTCTTCATAATAAATACCCCAACACCATGCCAGAACGCAAGTCACTTTCCTCCTATATAACGGAAACGTAATTACAGTATTCTTCATAATAAATACTCTAACACCATGCCGGAACCCAAGTCACTTTCTTCCTATATAAAGGAAACGTACCTACATTATTCTTCATACAGTGAAAAGTACGATTTACATTTTCAAACAGAAAATGGCTAGAAACAAACCCTAACAATTGTGTGATGCAAGATGTTTGTCAAAAGGAATGGTATTCAGTGATTTATCAACCTTCTTGAAAACAGTCAAAACCATTAATGACACCCCATGCACTTGTATGGGGCTACTGCATTGTGGACGTGCATCCCATGTGTTGTGTTTAGGGATGGTGAGAAATGAAATGGTGATGCGTTCCTAAGATGTCTGTCTTTGAAAAGTTTCTTAATGCTCATACTTCCTATCCAAATCGAAGGTACAGGTTCCCCAACTTTGTTTTGAGAGTATATAGTTTAAAGTTTTTAACCCATCGGCATGTAATGCGGTGGGATATAGTCGTCGCCTCGTCCGTCTGTCCGTCCATAATCATTTTGTTTCCGGAGCATAACTCAAAGACCGTTCGATATTATTCAACAAAAATTGGTAGATGTGTCAGACATAACCTAGAGTGGTGCCTTTTGCTATTTACAGATTATTGTCATTTTTATTTTTCTCGGTTTCCATGGAAACATTTTGGACTTAGTCATAAAGAGGGGTGGGCTTCGTTTCCGGGGCATAACTCAATAACCGTTCAATATTTTTCAACAATACTTGGTAGATATATCAAACAGATCCCAAAGTAGTGCCTTTTGCTATTTGCAGATTTTTGGCATTTATATTTTTCCCCGGTTTCCATGGAAATGATTCAGACTTAGTCCCAAAAGTGAGAGGGTGGGCTTCGTTTCCGGAGCATAACTCAAGAACCGTTCAATATTTTTTAACAAGACTTGGTAGATATATCAAACAGAACCTTAAGTGGTGTTTACAGATTTTTCTGATTTATTATTTTCTCGGTTTCCATGGAAACGATTCGGACTTAGTCTCAAAAGGGAGGGGTAGGTTTTGTTTCCGGAGCACAACGCGAAAACTTCTTAATATCTTTCAGTAAAACTTGGCAGATATATGAGGCAGATCTTGAAGTGGTGCCTTTTGCTATTTGCAGATTTTGTCATTTATATTTTTCATGATTTCTATGGAAGCGATTTGCACTTAGTCTAAACTCAAGCTGGACTTAAAGTAACTGTCAGATGATTTGTTCTTCCAAAGATGTGGGGGCCGGGGGGATATGTCATCTTCTGATGACTCTTGTCTTTACATGAGACAATTTTCATATTGGTAATCATTAATAGTTGTTCCTATCAAATATTAGAGCTGTAATGATATATTGTAGTATCGATAATCATGATAATTGATCTAACGATAAATATATCGATACGTTTTTATTCCCCGCAACACGTTTTGCGGGGGGTATTAAAATGGACTCCGCCAGTGTGTCCGTCCGTCCCCCGCAACGTCCGTGCACATTTGTCTTTTCCGGAGCAGAACTCTAAAACCGTTCAATATTTCTTCACCAAACTTGGCACATACATGGATCTGGTGGTGTACTGGTGCCTTTTGGTAGTTTTGGAATTCTGAATAAAATATTTTTGGCGTTTCCATGGCAACAAGTTTGGCTTTGACTGAAATTAGTGATAGTGCTCTTTTCTGGAGCAGAACTCTAAAACCGTTCAAAATTTCTTCACCAAACTTTGCACATAGATAGATCTGGTGGTGTACTGGTGCCTTTTGGTAGTTTTGGAATTCTGAATAAAATATTTTTGGCATTTCCATGGCAACAAGTTTGACTTAGAGTGAAATTGGTGATAGTGCTCCTTTCTGGAGCAGAATTTGAAAAACCTTTCAGTACTCACCTTCCACTTTTCTATATACACACCTAAATATTTGACATAATCATAACTCATAGACATAATCATGAAGAGTATTTTGTCATTGCGGGGGATATTGATGACTTGGTCTTCTTGTTTATACATTTAAACAATGCTTTTAATAAATCAGAGATGCAGTCATGTACTTGTTTCAGTCAGAGGTGGTTACTGCAATTTGAAACCTCTGTCCAGAGTTGATTCTTTTCCAAATTCATGATAAAATAGTTACTGATTGATTGTTCTTCAGGGTCAGAATATTATCGGTCATCCAGGCTACGGAGGTCAAGTCGGGCAATTTGACCACGTCAACCAGCTGGCTGTGGGCTACATCACAAACCACAACTCCCAATATGGAATATGGGATGATCCCCGCTTCCTGGGACCTAGAGGCCGCAGTGTACGACTGTCTAGAAGATTATGTACAAGGATTGAAATAATCGTGCAGAGTTTTATATACTGAGGGAAAAAATAAGGGATCACATGAAAGGACAATTGTTCCTCCATTTTTTTCCAAGGTCTCTTCACAAAATTTGTCTTGCAATGCTTGTGAAGAAACCTGGGAAACAAGAAGGGAACACTTGTGCTTTCATGTGATCCCTTATTATTTTTCCTCAGTATATTTCTGTGGAATTAATAATCCTATTTCTGAAAATTCAGTGGTACTTAGAGGTAGTTGAATGGAAAGTACATGCATTTGAATGTTTTTAACAAGTGTTTGTAAAATTTCATATTTTCTTTCTACCAGCTCCTGCTGTGTTGTTCATTGATCAGTTTTAGTTAATATTTTGCTAATTATTACCACAGCAATGACAGGGACGGTGCCTGAGTGCTAGTTCATCATAGAGCATTGACCTAATTTCAGCTTGAATATACTACTACGGTCATTTCATACTTTAAGACAATAAACTTCAATATGTCATGGAGACAATTGCATAGTAATTGCAAACAAAAGTTTAAAGAGATCACTTGAAAAAATGTTTTGCATGTTTATTTTGATCATCATTTATTACGTCTTTCAGTGGCATTTAGAAGTTGTACATTGATGTCCAAGATATTTTTTATGGATTAAACTTCTTTGTAATTTCTCTCACGACGTTTCGAGACCATTCCAGGTCCCTTCATCTGGTGAATTTATTACGTTTTAAAAAATTATCTTGGTGAACAAAGTTAAGAAAGGATTGCTATTCATTATTTCTTTTACAATATGCCATTCATGCATCTTTTTGGACCCAAACAAGTTATATATATTTTAAAACCAAAATATGTATGATACAGGGTTGAGAATTTTCTGTCGATTTGCGATATTCCGTGGATTTGATCACGCTGGGGTCATTCTTGTGAATTGTCTAAACCTGAGGCCCCCAAGACCCCCCGGCTTATTGTCATCCCTTTTCACTCACACCCATTCTCATCCCTGATGATAGAGTATGGAAAATACTGGCAGTTACTACAAGAAATAAAGTGTCACTAATCTTAGATTACAGGAACCATTTATCCTCCTTCCATTACTATTGTGAAACCAATATGAGGCTTTGTAGGGCAGTAGTGTTGGTTATGACACACAATATGAAGATCAATGATCGGAGCTCTGTAGTCAATCAATAATCGATTGTAATCATAGACACCACCACAGAACAGGACACAATCATAACATTGTGCAAAAAAACAGGCATCGATTGATATCACAAACAAGACAATTGAGGATGCTTCCTTTTGAGACAAGCATGTGGGGATATTGTTTACATAATAGTTTCACAAGTCAGGAAACTGCATCAGTTGTTTATGTCTTGATTTGACAAACATTACAACAAGGAACATACTTTCTGATGTTTAATTTGATGGTTCCTTTTTATCCCACCGGCATATAATGCGGTGGGATATAGTCGTCGCCACGTCCGTCTGTCCGTCCGTCCGTCCGCCCGTCCGTCCGTCCGTCCGTCCGTAATCATTTTGTTTCCGGACCATAACTCAAAGACCGTTCGATATTTTTTAACCAAAATTGGTAGATATGTCAAAACTAACCTAAGGTGGTGCCTTTTGCTATTTACAGATAATTGTCATTTTATTTTTCTCGGTTTCCATGGAAGCGTTTTGGACTTAGTCTTAAAGAAGGGTGGGCTTCGTTTCGAGACATAACTCAAGAACCGTTCAATATTTTTCAACAAAACTTGGTAGATATATCAAACAGATCCTAAAGTGGTGCCTTTTGCTATTTGCAGATTTTTGGCATTTTATTTTTCCCGGTTTCCATGGAAACGATTCGGACTTAGTCCCAAAAAGTGAGGGTGGGCTTCGTTTCGGAGCATAACTCAAGAACCGTTCAATATTTTTCAACAAAACTTGGTAGATGTATGAAACAGAACCTTAAGTGGTGCCTTTTGCTATTTGCAGATTTTTGGCATTTTATTTTTCTTGGTTTCCATGGAAACATTTTGGACTTAGTCTCAAAAGTAAGGATTGCTTTTCGTTTCGGACATAACTCAAAACCATTCAATATTTTTCAACAAAACTTGGTAGATATATCAAACAGATCCTAAAGTTGTGCCTTTTGCTATTTGCAGATTTTTGGCATTTTATTTTTCCGGTTTCCATGGAAACGATTCGGACTTAATCCCAAAAGTGAGGGGTGGAAGCTTAGTTTCCAGAGCATAACTCAAGAACCGTTCAATATTTTTCAACAAAACTTGGTAGATGTATGAAACAGAACCTTAAGTGGTGCCTTTTGCTATTTGCAGATTTTGGCATTTTATTTTTCCGGTTTCCATGGAAACATTTTGGACTTAGTCTCAAAAAGTAAGGATTGCTTTTCGTTTCGAGACATAACTCAAAAACCGTTCAATATTTTTCAACAAAACTTGGTAGATATATCAAACAGATCCTAAAGTTGTGCCTTTTGCTATTTACAGATTTTTGGCATTTTATTTTTCCCGGTTTCCATGGAAACGATTCGGACTTAATCCCAAAAGTGAGGGTGGGCTTAGTTTCGAGCATAACTCAAGAACCGTTCAATATTTTTCAACAAAACTTGGTAGATATATCAAACAGAACCTTAAGTTGGTGCCTTTTGCTATTTGCAGATTTTTGGCATTTTATTTTTCCGGTTTCCATGGAAACGATTCGGACTTAGTCCCAAAAGTGAGGGTGGGCTTGTTTCGAGAGCATAACTCAAGAACCGTTCAATATTTTTCAACAAAACTTGGTAGATGTATGAAACAGAACCTTAAGTGGTGCCTTTTGCTATTTGCAGATTTTTGGCATTTTATTTTTCTTGGTTTCCATGGAAACATTTTGGACTTAGTCTCAAAAGTAAGGATTGCTTTCGTTTCGGGCATAACTCAAAAACCGTTCAATATTTTTCAACAAAACTTGGTAGATATATCAAACAGATCCTAAAGTTGTGCCTTTTGCTATTTGCAGATTTTTGGCATTTTTATTTTCCCGGTTTCCATGGAAACGATTTGGACTTAGTCCCAAAAGTGAGGGGTGGGCTTCGTTTCGAACATAACTCAAGAACCGTTCAATATTTTTCAACAAAACTTGGTAGATGTATGAAACAGAACCTTAAGTGGTGCCTTTTGCTATTTGCAGATTTTTGGCATTTTATTTTTCTTGGTTTCCATGGAAACATTTTGGACTTAGTCTCAAAAGTAAGGATTGCTTTTCGTTTCGAGACATAACTCAAAAACCGTTCAATATTTTTCAACAAAACTTGGTAGATATATCAAACAGATCCTAAAGTTGTGCCTTTTGCTATTTACAGATTTTTGGCATTTTTATTTTCCCGGTTTCCATGGAAACGATTCGGACTTAGTCCCAAAAGTGAGGGGTGGGCTTCGTTTCCAGAGCATAACTCAAGAACCGTTCAATATTTTTCAACAAAACTTGGTAGATGTATGAAACAGAACCTTAAGTGGTGCCTTTTGCTATTTGCAGATTTTTGGCATTTTTATTTTTCTTGGTTTCCATGGAAACATTTTGGACTTAGTCTCAAAAAGTAAGGATTGCTTTTCGTTTCGGAGCATAACTCAAAAACCGTTCAATATTTTTCAACAAAACTTGGTAGATATATCAAACAGATCCTAAAGTTGTGCCTTTTGCTATTTACAGATTTTTGGCATTTTTATTTTCCCGGTTTCCATGGAAACGATTCGGACTTAGTCCCAAAAGTGAGGGGTGGGCTTCGTTTCCGGAGCATAACTCAAGAACCGTTCAATATTTTTCAACAAGACTTGGTAGATATATCAAACAGAACCTTAAGTGGTGCCTTTTGCTATTTGCAGATTTTTGGCATTTTTATTTTTCCCGGTTTCCATGGAAACGATTCGGACTTAGTCCCAAAAGTGAGGGGTGGGCTTCGTTTCCGAGCATAACTCAAGAACCGTTCAATATTTTTCAACAAAACTTGGTAGATGTATGAAACAGAACCTTAAGTGGTGCCTTTTGCTATTTGCAGATTTTTGGCATTTTAATTTTTCTTGGTTTCCATGGAAACATTTTGGACTTAGTCTCAAAAAGTAAGGATTGCTTTCGTTTCCGGAGCACAACTCAAAAACCATTATAATATTTTTCAACAAAACTTGGTAGATATATCAAACAGATCCTAAAGTTGTGCCTTTTGCTATTTACAGATTTTTGGCATTTTTATTTTTCCCGGTTTCCATGGAAATGATTCGGACTTAATCCCAAAAGTGAGGGGTGGGCTTCGTTTCCGGAGCATAACTCAAGAACCGTTCAATATTTTTCAACAAGACTTGGTAGATATATCAAACAGAACCTTAAAGTGGTGCCTTTTGCTATTTGCAGATTTTTGGCATTTTTATTTTTCCGGTTTTCCATGGAAACGATTCGGACTTAGTCCCAAAAGTGAGGGGTGGGCTTCGTTTCCGGAGCATAACTCAAGAACCGTTCAATATTTTTCAACAAAACTTGGTAGATGTATGAAACAGAACCTTAAGTGGTGCCTTTTGCTATTTGCAGATTTTTGGCATTTTTATTTTTCTTGGTTTCCATGGAAACATTTTGGACTTAGTCTCAAAAGTAAGGATTGCTTTCGTTTCGAGACACAACTCAAAACCATTCAATATTTTTCAACAAAACTTGGTAGATATATCAAACAGATCCTAAAGTTGTGCCTTTTGCTATTTGCAGATTTTTGGCATTTTTATTTTTCCCGGTTTCCATGGAAACGATTCGGACTTAATCCCAAAAGTGAGGGGTGGGCTTCGTTTCCGGAGCATAACTCAAGAACCGTTCAATATTTTTCAACAAAACTTGGTAGATGTATCAAACAGAACCTTAAGTGGTGCCTTTTGCTATTTGCAGATTTTTGGCATTTTTATTTTTCTTGGTTTCCATGGAAACATTTTGGACTTAGTCTCAAAAAGTAAGGATTGCTTTCGTTTCCGGAGCACAACTCAAAAACCGTATAATATTTTTCAACAAAACTTGGTAGATATATCAAACAGATCCTAAAGTTGTGCCTTTTGCTATTTGCAGATTTTTGGCATTTTTATTTTTCCCGGTTTCCATGGAAACGATTCGGACTTAGTCCCAAAAGTGAGGGGTGGGCTTCGTTTCCGGAGCATAACTCAAGAACCGTTCAATATTTTTCAACAAAACTTGGTAGATATATCAAACAGAACCTTAAGTGGTGCCTTTTGCTATTTGCAGATTTTTGGCATTTTTATTTTTCCCGGTTTCCATGGAAACGATTCGGACTTAGTCCCAAAAGTGAGGGTGGGGTTTAAGCCGTTTCGAGACATAACTCAAGAACCGTTCAATATTTTTCAACAAAACTTGGTAGATGTATGAAACAGAACCTTAAGTGGTGCCTTTTGCTATTTGCAGATTTTTGGCATTTTATTTTTCTTGGTTTCCATGGAAACATTTTGGACTTAGTCTCAAAAAAGTAAGGATTGCTTTCGTTTCGGGCATAACTCAAAAACCGTTCAATATTTTTCAACAAAACTTGGTAGATATATCAAACAGATCCTAAAGTTGTGCCTTTTGCTATTT